AGATAGATAGATAGATAGATAGATAGATAGATAGATAGATACTATATATATTTGTATATATACAGGTCCAGTACACTTAAATTTTTTGCAACTGTAAAACATAATACCATGTTTTCATTAATATGATTTTTATTTTTTTACTTTTTTCTGTTCAAATACACCATCTTGAAGAAACACCTTTTCTCCAAGTAAGCTCATGACCATCTACTACAGTCTGTTAAAATTAGTCTTAAATATCTAACAAGGTTGAGTCAGGTGGTCTCGTCCAGAGGACCTAACTCAACCTTGTTAGATTTATCTACAGTACCTGGATTACTGCGTGTGCATCAGGATATTCCTAAAGATATTTAATTTATTTTGATTTTTTAAAATTGTTTTGATAAGTGGATATTTCCTTTAACCACTTAGTTTAATATTTAGTTCATTTGGTTCCATGTATAAAAACCTTGTGTCCTTTAATGTAAACTGTTAGAACAGGTGACCTCAGTTTAACTAATGGAAGTTTTTTTAAACTAAATGGTGTTCCATATCATCATGGTTTATTTGTCTTTAATTGCAAAAAAGTAGTAATACGTTTGACTTATGAAATAAAATGCTTTAGCCAAAGAAGACCAGATGGATCTCCACTGACTGATGCTAATAAAATGTTATTTCCTTTAACCAGTTGTGAAAAGCCTAATTTCATGCGTTCTCTGGTGCTGGATTCACAATGCAAGGCTGTTTGACTGCATCAGGTCATGATTATAAAAAATATATATCTAAAAATAACATCAAATTTAACCAAGAGCCAATTCATAGTTCAAGAATTAGTTTTCTGCAACTGGGAAAGTTCATCTTCAAGCCAGCCGTTTTATGAATGCACTCTTTACAATCCATTCATTGAAACTATGTTGATGACTGCAATTTGAGTTATTAAAAATCGTGTTTGCATTACGTCGCAGCTTCAAAGAAGTCTGGTGCAACTGTAAAGAAAACATCCACATTTTTTTTCTCTCTCTCTCCTGATCCCCTTTAAAGCCTGAACCCACAACCTGCCATTAGAAAGTGAACTCGACGTCAACTGCAATCACACTCAGAGGAGCGTTTTATCAATGGTCTGTTCAAGCTGAGAAAACCGCAGTAGTCTTGACTCGGCTAATGGCCCAATACGTTTAAAAGGCAACGTGAAAAGAGGCAGGGGGGAACCAAGAACAATATTTGTTTTTCCTCATGATAATGGTTCCATTAAATGAGAGAAATGCTGCCATTAATAGAGAACAGAGGGGTTTCTGTTTCTCTCATGATTATTATGCTAAGAACAGTAATAATTCTGTTCGTCAGGATATAACTTTAATACATTAATCCTAATCACGCATTCATTTAGACGAGCTTGTAGTCATTTTAAAATCTTGTTCTGCTTTTAGAAAGTGTATAAATTTGTCCTTTGACTAGTTGTCTTTTCAGAACTTTCATTCAGCCAAAAAAAAAAAAAAGTTTTTAAACTGATGTTTTGTATTTTAACAAATATCTTTTATAGTTGTTTTTTTTATTTATTATTTATTCAGCCACAGTTGCAACGCATGCACGTGATTCTTTACAACTGATAATAATTATCCATGATTACATCTGATCTATCTCATATTTCCAGAGAAAAGAATGACTCAACTCACACATGGCTCCAACTGACTGATTATTTCAGTATGTTGGCAAAATGACTGGGAGGATGAACTTGGTCAAACAAGTGTACATCAGCAGTGTGTGTGTTGGTGTGTGTGTCCGAAAAAAAAGAACCTTTCAACACAGACTGATTTAACAGAATACCTCCATCCTGCCTTACGTGTTATTTATGTTAATCAGTTTCCAGTTGAGTCTGAGTTGATGCTTGATTGGAGGAAAGTTTTTATAAATCTCAGGTAAACGTCACAAATTTAAACCTCTATCCTGGTTTGTAGATGACAGCTAAACTCAAATTGCTAGAAAACATGTTTCTGACCATTTTAAATGCTTCTCTGCTCCATCACACCTGATTCAAATGACTGAATTACCTCCTCAACAGGCCACCAAGTTCTACAAAACTTGTTAATGTTCAGTTATTTAAAGCAGGTGTGTTTGAAGTGGGAACGTCTAAAACATGCAGGACTGTGGCCCCCTGATGTTGGGAGTTTGGTGTCTTGGAAGGTTTACGTTTTGAGGTTGCAGCTTTAAATTTGTAAGTTATGCTTGTAGATTATTTTCTTTTTATAATATTTTTGTTCATCCTTTTTAACTATCAGCTCACCTGATGAATCCTGTATGTAACGTCTCTGTGTGCTTTTCCCATAAAAATCACAATATACACTTTGGTTGAACACAGCGATGCAAGTTTTCTTAAATTTCATCCTTAAACATAAAATTGAGGAAGATGACGAATTGATCACTAATTTGTTCACAGCTCAGAACACTTTGCAAGATGGTTTGAGATTTGTGGACATGTTGTGCTAAACTAGTGGTGTACACTAGTGGTGCTTTTCTTAAAACTAATTTTTTTTTAAATGTAAACGCCAAGCAAATAATAAAAAAATGTGTTTTTATAATTTGTTTTCAAGGGGAAAAAGTTCAACTATTCAGTTTATGGGTGATGCAAATTACTTCGTAAACACCGTCATGTAAATTAAAGCCATCAGATGTATTGGTGTGGAGATATATGGGTTCAAAACTCTGAATTATGCTGGTAAGACTTTTAAAAAGTCCAGTTGATAATTGTTCTAATGATTGAAGGTTGAAAGAAAATGTACAGTGTG